TTCCTAAACAACAAACTGAGGGATTTCAAGGGAGTATTTCCACCAAAAGTAAACAATTGGTTTCTAAACCAACTTTTGCAGCCACTTCCAAACCAACCTCAAATCTACTGACAATGACACCATGGTTGAGATTCAACATGGCACACATCTTGGTAAACCGGCAATTTTCTTCAAGGCGGAGGATTACTTTGTTAATTTAGCAAAAGAATGCAGATTCACCATCATTGGTAAGTTCTATTGAGGTAAACCATCCATGGAGGAAATTAGGAAGACTTTCATTAGGCAATTCTAACTCTCTGCCTCGATCAAGATAGCATATTTCGACCCTATGCATGTTTACCTTAATTTTGCTAATGAAGTTGATTAAAATCATGTCTTTTCTAAGGACTATATAGACATTGGCGATGCCCCTATGAAAATTCTCAAGTGGACTTCGGATTTCAAATCAAAGGAGGAAACGCCCATTGTTCCTGTTTGGATCCTAATTCACAAACTCCCCTGACACCTATTTAAATGGAATATTGTTTCTAGACTAGTGCAAGATGTTGGTGTGGCAGTGGCTCTGGACCTGGCAACCTATTCTAAATCTAGAGGCAATGTTGCAAAGGTTAAAGTCGAGATTGATCTTTTAAAGCCTAGACTTGATAAAATATGGCTAGGCTATAAAAGATTAGATGGAACTGATGATGGAAAGTGGCTTGATATTGAATATGAAAAGGTTCCAAGCTATTGTATGTATTGCAAAATGCAAGGTCACTATGAGAGCTAATGCAGAAACAAGATCCGTGATGAAAGAATAAAAGCTCAAAAGGAAGCTCAACTCAACAAGGAAAACGATCAAAAAAGAGATAAGCCAAAAGAAGATGAATTTCAAACGGTTTCTAAGAAGAAGAGTGCCAAAGTGAGGTTTTAGAACAATAGTTATATGAAGATGGCCAACAAACCTAATGAGCATAACAGGAAGATCAAAGATCGAATGAAAGGCAAAGAGAGAATCATCAATCAGTGAACCAAGATGTGAGAGGTAAGGCAAAAAATGGAATTGTTATCAATGAGCCTACCGCGATGCAGAAGCCTCCCATGAAGGAAGATGTACTTGGTAAAGGTAAAAACAAAATGGAGGAAAAAACAAACAAAACAACATTTAGAGGAGTGAGAAAAATATTAACAAAAAGAAGAGGGTCGGAGTGAAAAAGAAGAACCAAATCATCAATAGCAATGAAGCTCAACTCCAAAACACAACATTGGAAAAAGGCCAACCAAGCAGCAAGAAAACTGATACAACAACCAAACCATCGGAGCATAATACTAGCAACAAAGAAGACAACAACAATCCCATTGACAATGATCAAAACAGTAGACATTTGTTCCAGGAGAATAATACCAATGGTGAGAACAACACCAATCTCATTGAGGAGGAAGGCAATAATAAACGCGGACCAGAACAAAACAACAACAAAAACAACCATGTAATTGATCTAGGAGATGCCCATAACACATATCTTAAACTTATTAGTGGTACCATCTTAGAAGAGGATAAAGAGAGTGAAAATATGTACATCTCCAATAATACTCAAATGGCAGAATCATCCTTTGAGGATGATGGGGAAGAGGACAACGAAGAAGATGGTGACTATGAGGATGATATGAGCATTGAAGAAACTGATGATTTTTAAAGTGTTGGCAGTGAAAGCTTTCAGAATGAGGATCAACCTGTGAACCATACAACTGATGATCATGCGGCATAACTAATTGAAACTTCAATTCCAATGCTTTAGTGGAGATAAATGTAAGCTCTGAAATTGATAAGATTGTTGAAAGAGCTCACCTATCACCTAGAGGTAGAGGAAGAGGCAGAAATAACATCAAGAGAGGCAGCCACAAACCAAGAGGAAGAGGAGGAAGATTCACCTATCAACAAGCTGTTGTTATACCATAGGAACAAAACCTCTTCAACTGATTCATGATGTTTAAATACTTATATTGGAATATTAGAAGCATCAACTCTAGTGGTGCTTTTGATAGACTAAAGCAAATTATCCGACTTCAAATTCTTCCTTTCATTGCTATTAGTGAACCTTTTCACAAGGTAGATCATCTTGATAAGTTCAGATCTATGCTAGGTTATGATAATGCTCGTACCAATATCAATAGTCAAATATGGATCTTCTGGAATAATGATCTGAACTACAATGTGGTGGAGAAATTAGATCAACAGGTTACTTGTATAATTGAATGGATAGGAACAAACATCCTTGTTACTTCTGTTTATGCAAAATGTGATGCTGGTTTGAGAGAACATCTCTGGAATAACCTAAGGGATATCTCCCATAATTATAAGCTCCCTTGGTACACTGCACAAGATTTCAATTGTATTATTGATCCAAGTGAGAAATAGGGTGGTAACCTCCACAGAATATCCAAAAGCATGCCTTATTGACCCAGGCTTCTCAGGTTCACAATTTCCTGGTGCAATGGGTGGTCTCCTAACAGAAGAGTATGGAAAAGGCTAGATAGGGTGCTGGTTAACCAAGAATGGATGAATAAATATGACTCTACTAATGTCAATCATTTAGTTAGAACATGCTCTGATCACTCACCCGTCCTCACTATTGCTAAGAATACTTCACAGCCTACTATCAAATATTTCAGATTCTTAGATTTCTGGACTAATGAAAATGGTTTCAAAGAGGTGGTGAAACAGGCTTGGGATATATAGGTTCATGGTTCCCCTATGTGGAAATTCCACTTGAAACTAAAAAACACATGCAGATGCCTATCCCATTGGTCTAAGACATCTATTGGTAATATTTTTGACAATGTCAAGGATCTGGAAAAGAAAATGGATGATCTTGAATAAAAGACCATTACAAACAACATTGATATCAACAGAGCTGAGCTTAACTGCATAAATGCTCTTCTTATCAGGGCCTATAAAACTGAAGAATATATATGGAAGCAAAAATCTGGGATCAAGTGGTTTGTGGAGGGGAAGTGAATATTAAATTCTTCCACTCCATTGTCAAGGGTAGAAGAAAGAGGTTAGCTCTTAAAAAGATCAAGCTAAGTGATGGCACCTAGATTGAAGGAGATGAGCGTATTGCAAATGAAGCTATATCCTTCTTTCAAAAGCAATTCACTAGAGAACATACAGACTCCAATTTTTCCATCCTTAATTGTATTCCTAAAGTTATCAATGAAATGGATAATGCTGGCCTTACAGCCATACCTTCAATGGAGGAACTGAAAGCTGTCGTTTTTTCCATGAGCCCATCCAGTGCACCTGGACCAGATGGTCTTTTTGGAAAATTTTATCATTCCTGTTGGGATATTATTAAGGATGATCTTTTACTAATGATCAATGATTTCTTTGCAGGTAACCAAATTCCAAAGTTCATGACCCACACCTGCCTAATCCTCATCCCTAAAGAGGATAATCCTCAAGCCTTCAATGAACTAAGGCCTATCAGCCTTGGCAATTTCTCCTGCAAAATCATATCGAGTCTAATGAACCAAAGATTAAGACCCCTTATGGACAAACTTATTTCTCCTTACCAAACAGGCTTTATCAAAGGAAGCTCCATAACTGAAAATATCATGATGACTCAGAATATGGTCCATAATATTACAAAACCTTCCACCAATGGGAATGTAGTATTAAAAGTGGACATGCCTAAAGCATATGATCGAGTCCCATGGGAATATCTCTGTAATATTATGAGGCATTTTGGTTTTAATGAAACTTGGATTGCTATGATTTGGAGACTTATGTCTAATATTTGGTATTCTGTAAATGTCAATGGGAATAGACAGGGGTTTTTCAATTCCTCTAGGTGATTAAGATAAGTGGATCTTTTATCTCCCTCTATAGATAGTAATGGTCCTGTTATATCTCATTTATGTTATGCTGACGATACAATTTTGTTTTCTTCAGCTGAACCTGAATCCTTGAAGATCATGATGGAAAAGATGGAGACTTATGAGAAAACCTCAGGACAACTAGTGAACAAAGCCAAATCTGGTTTTTATGTCAACTTCCAAGATGATGATATAAGAATCAACCGAATCAAACAGATTACTGGATACAATCACTGTCACTTTTCAGTGCAATATCTTGGATGTCCTATCTATATAGGAAGGAAAAAAGTTGTTTATTTAACAACATGGTGGCTAACATAGCCAAAAAACTCCAAGGATGGCAAGGTAAATTTCTAACCTATGGTGGCAAAGTTGTTCTTGTTAAATCTGTTTTGCAGGCTATTCCACTTCACACTCTATCAGTGTTACATCCTCCCAAGGCAACTTTCTCTCAGATTAAAAAGATCATCTCTAACTTCTTTTGGGGAATGGATGACAACAAAAATAAGAAGCACTGGATGGTTTGGAAAGACATGTGCTTCCCAATCGAGGAAGGCGGAGCTGGCTTCAGATCTCTTAAAGACACATGTAATGCCTTCTCTGCTAAAATATGGTGGAAATTTAGAACTAAAAAATCCCTTATCAAAGATTTTCTCGAAGCTAAGTATTGTAAAAGGTTTCATCCTGTTGCAATAAGAAAAGCTCAATGCCAATCTCAGTTTTGGAGAAGAATGATGGACATCAAAGAAAAGGTGGAACCTTATATCTCATGGAGTCTTGTAAGAGGGGAGATCTCCTTCTAGTGGGATTCTTGGACAGAACTTGGGCCCTTGGCTCACCTGGCAATTAACACCAAGACTCCTAAAAGAACTATGGTGAGGGATTTCTATCATCAAAATACTTGGAATCAAAGTAAATTGAGGAGAATCCTCCCTTTGCATGTGGTCAACTATATCAAAGACATCACCTTCAATATTGATAAAGAAGATAGACCCATATGGACCCCGGATCCTTCAAGGGATTTCTCTTACAAATCTGCATGGCACATTCCGAGATCAAAGAAAGGAACTACTCTAACAGGTATGACTATTTGGCATAAAAAGCTTCATTTTAAAATTTCCGTTTTTATGATGAGAGTGTTAATGGATAAAGTAGCAACTGATGTTGCTATTAAAAGATTTGGGGTGAATATTGCTTCTATATGTAACTGCTGCTTTAATAACCATTCTGAGGAATCTACTAACCATCTACTCAGTGATAGTCATATTGCCAATCTAGTATGGTCCTTCTCTTGTAACTCCTGTGATATCATATTGGTCAAAGGCCAGGTAAGACACAGAATTATGAGGTGGTGGTTGACTAAGTCCAAAAATGAAGTTCAGAAGACAGTTCTTCAGTGCCTGCCCTCAATCATTTGCTGGCAAATTTGGAAGAATAGATGCTCTGCTAGGTTTGATGAAAAGTGCATGTCCCATCATTTCATCATCCAACAAGTGATAAAAATGACAAATATGCTTATCTAGACGAGGTTCACAGATCTTCAGCTCCAGCACCTATGGCAGGACACGTACAGTAGAATTGAGAAGCTTTCCCCTGCTATTCATTGTCAGATTGTTTATTGGCAAAAACCTCATGTGGGCTGGGTTAAACTTAATGTTGATGGCTGTAGCAAAGGTAACCCTAGTCCGGCAGGTGGTGGTGGTCTTATCAGAGATCACCATGGCATTTTAATTGAAGCTTTTGCAGAATTCTATAGAGATTGTAGCTGTAATATTGCGGAAGCTAAAGCCATGATGCGAGGCATCAAAATGTGTATTTCAAAGGGCTTTACAAATGTTATAGTTGAATCGGACTCGTTGATTCTTCTTAACTTGATCAAAAGGATAAGGAATCCTCCCTGGAGATTCACAGATACTATTGAATAAATCCACAACATGACCAAGGATGCTAACTTTCTATTTTGTCACACCTTGAGAGAAGGAAACAACTCTGCTGACAAGCTTGCTAACCTGGGCGAAGAATCCAAAATTGATTCTATCTTCAATAAGGCTGTATCATTACCTTCGAGTGTTAGAGCTTCAATGAAGTTAGAAGTTGACGGGGTCCCTAACATCAGATTCAGACAGAAGAAAAACAAGTTTGTTATCAATGACAATACCTAGCAGCAAGTTTCTTTCTCACACCTTTTTGTACATAGCATCCTTGAGTGTTACTACAAATTACCCTAGGATGCACAACTTCCTTCCCATACAAGCAAAATACTTTTGTTCAACTGTGTATCATAGGATGAATGTTGTCACCTATCACACTCAGGAGCGGAGCTAGAGTGTAGCCAGTGGGTTCGGCCGAACCCAGTTGCTTTGGTTCAAACCCTGTATTTGTCTTAAAAATTCATTGAATATGTATAAATTATTAATTTAGAATTCAGTAACTTAAAACGATTAGAATTCCGAACCCATAAGCTTGAAATCATGATTCCGCCTCTGATCACACTGTCTTGGAGGCCAAGGCCTATGCTTTCCTCCGTATAATTATTATTTTTGATATATATACAAGTTGGAGTCACGCCTTAACTCCTCCATCAGGATGATGGAACTATAATTTTTTTTTAAAAAAGTCTGATTTTTGATAAAGCCCATATATCTCAAGCTCGAGCACACATCGACATCAATGTGCTTCGGGGAGGGGGGGGGGGGGAAATTTT